TACAGGATAAACTAATGCTAGAACTGAAATGCTTAAAAAATGTAAAACAGTATTAAGAGTAAGTTTATTTTAAGCCCTAGAGTTTCTTCTAAGACTTAAGATTACCTGCTTTCTTTAGGAAGATTTGGAAAGAGAATTCCTTATCAGTTATGTTTATTACCAATTTTACAAGTGGCACCGAAGGACATATGTATATTTTGGTGAGAATCAACTCCTGCTGCTTAAATGCAGTGTTTCCTGGTTTTTGTTTGACTCTTACTCTGTATGAATAAAGCTTTGACTTGTGGAGCTTGCACTGTTGTTGAAGATAGCATGGGTTTTGCCTTGCTGTAAAACTGACATAAGAATTTCCAAAGGCCTCATTTTTAGTTTATACCTGGTAGCCAGATGTTTTGGGGAATACAAAGGAGTTAAATTTATGTTAGCATTTTGGGATATTTTATTTCATGAAGTCCAGGGATAGAAAACATAAAAAGGCAGTGAACACTTTTAAAGTGAACATTTTAAAGTATTTACTTGAGAGAACTATGTGCATGGTAGCTGTGACATTGTTTTCCTGCACTGAGGGAGGAGTACAGATAGCACAGTGTAGTTAACAGTGCTATCTGCAATGATTTACTGTCATTTTGCCACTTAAAACTAATTTAATCTTTTTCCTTGAGGATTGAAGTAATTAAATTTTCTTGCAGGTTTGCCCGCCTACAAAAACTTATCATCAGTTTGGCTGGTCGTAACCTTTATATCCGTTTTCAGTCTGGAACAGGGGATGCAATGGGAATGAATATGATTTCAAAAGTAAGGTCCAGTCCCCTTAAGTCTCTCTAAAAATTTGTATTGCTTTTAAAAATAAATAAATTGTATCCTACCAATCTGTGACTACCTGGCATGTGAAGATGGAAAGACAAGACAATAGTACTGCAAGCAGCGCTATAAAATAATAGTGTTTGACCTTGTCAAGTGTAAACAAGAATACGATGAGAACAATGAAAGAAAAAAGGTTAAAGTAACTTTGTATTTTAATTTTTTTTATTTGTTAAACAAAGTATTCTTGATAATATGGAAGTTAAGCTGTTTGCTCTGTTGCTTTGGGCCAAAGATTTTTATCCAGCAGTAATTAATCTGTTACTGTGTTTATCACTCCTTGTAAATAAGGGATTAGAAATCTGGTGAGTGGCAGTAGGGGGATGTTCTCTAGTTTTGTTTGATTGTTTTTGTTTTTTATGCAAACATGTGGAAGAACCCGAGACATGACCCATAGACTGGGGGGTGCTTTGTGCTTTTTGAGATGATAAATTGTAAATAGAATAGGCAATCAGTATTAAAGTTTATCAGAACCATTACATAAATGGGTCTGGCTATAGAAAGGTAATAAATATAGCAGACCTTTTGTCTGACTTCCTAGTGTGGAGAAGCTCTTTCCACTACGTTCAAAGTGAATTCATTTCATGCCTGTAGTGTCTGCCTTGGTTCATGTTGTATCTTCAGTATGGTAAGCATATGTCCGTTCACCTAGAACGTATCCAGAGAGTCCATATGTACTGGGAAGAACCAATTATTCCCCATATAATTCCCAAAGTGGTTAGAAAAAGGGTAGTGATAGATTTCCCCCCCTGTTTCAGGTTCCTTCCTGAAATCATGTTCTTTTCTTCAGCTGTAACTGATGATCTGATTAGACTTAATCTAATCTTGCTGTTCTACTGTCCTTGAGTAGCTTGTTTTACAACCATAATGATATACTAGCCCTATATCTGTTTCTCTTTTAACAGGGTACTGAAAAAGCACTGGAAAGGCTGAATGAAGAGTTTCCTGATCTCCAGGTTATAGCTATTAGTGGTAACTATTGTACAGACAAAAAACCTGCTGCTATAAATTGGATAGAAGGAAGAGGGAAGTCTGTTGTCTGTGAAGCAGTTGTTCCAGCTAAGGTTGTTAGAGAAGTAAGTGTCTGCTTTATTTTACTTAATTTGTTTATAAAAATGTGTACATTTTCCATCACAGATATTAACTGTAAGTTGTGTTCCATGTAAGGATGATCCCTACATGTATTTTTAGACTACTGCTGTAGGATAAGTCATTTTTCCTGAGAACCTCTTACAGTAGATTTTTTTTTTTCTCCTTTCACTGTCTCTTCTAAGATAATGTGCTATATATTTAATGATGGATATCTAGTTGAAGGCATGAGGATTTTCCCTTTTTACTTTTGAAAAAGTTATGCTACAGTTCGATAGTGTGGGGGGTTTTTTTTATACATGAAGTTTTTGCCTGATATTATACCCAGTCATTTTGATTATTTCACTCATTTATTGTCTCTTGCATGAACCTGGCATTCTCTTCAAATTTTATATGCCCCCTACTACAATGAAAACAGATAATCAGGTGCTTTACTTAATTCCAAAGCTGCCTTAGCTTCTTGCATGATGAAGGGTAACCTTTATAATCAGTGCCAGTCCTAGCCCCTGGCAAACTTGTCCTACATCATAAGAGGTATCTTAGATTCTCTTCCACCTGAGTTCAGAAGATTGGCTGTGTGTGTCAGACCAAACCCATTGCCTGTTACCTGGTTGCCAGCACTGGCTATGACAGACAATATCTAGGGAGGAGTTTACTACACCATACTCGGAATAGACTTCCACCAACATGTTCAAGATTGTGTGAATTGGTGCTTTATTATTTGACGGTGTTGTGGTTTAACCCCAGCCAGCAACTAAGCACCACACAGCTGCTCGCTCACTCCCCCCTTGGTGGGATGGGGGAGAGAATCCGAAGGGTAAAAGGGAGAAAACCCGTGGGTTGAGATAAGAACAGTTTAATAATTGAAGTAAAGTAAAATAAAACAGTTAAATAGATAAAGCAAAAACCGTGCATGCAAAGAAAGCAAAACAAGGAATTCATTCGCTACTTCCCATCGGCAGGCAGGTGTTTAGCCATCCCCAGGAAAGCAGGGCTCCATCACAAATAATGGTTACTTGGGAAGACAAACGCCATCACGCCCAATGTCCGTCCCTTCCTTCTTCCCCCAGCTTATATACTGAGCACGATATCATATGGTATGGAATAGCCCTTTGGCCAGTCTGGGTCAGCTGTCCTGGCTGTGCTCCCTCCCAGCCCCCTGCACCCGGCAGAGCATGGGAAGCTGAAAAGTCCTTGACCAGTGAGAGCACTACTTAGCACCTATTTAGCAACAGCTTAGCACTACTTAGCAAGAACCAAAACATCAGTGTATCATCGACATTGTTCTCATCCTAAACCCAAAACACAGCCCCATACCGGCTACCAAGAAGAAAATTAACTCTATCCCAGCTGAAACCAGGGCAACCACCAAGGAAGATGACTGCACATGTGGATCGGATATTTGCATATGTTAGTAAGTTCCAGGAAATCTCATGTTTATGTAAATGAATTCTCGGAAATCCTTTGAATATGTAGGACTTTACAGTTTATAATCTCTGAATGTCTACCAAATCGGTGGAGCACTTATGGTGGAGAATCCCCAGTGCTGCCCAGCGCTGCAATAAAGGATACCTGCTTAATAGTAACTTTGTTGCTACTGAGTTTCATTTCAGGGACTCTCAGAATACTCCGTTTCTCCCTTGGGGAGATTCGGACTGTGAGGAGAAGCATCCGTGAATTTTTGTATCAGAAGTGTCCAATAACACATTAGGCAAGTATCTGTTATAAGTCGTTCAGGTAGTGCTGGTCCTCCTGAGCTTCCTCTTCAGCTTGATTTTATGAGAGGCTGGCACACTGCTGTACTTTTTGATTATAGCTGGTGTTTGATATTTCAAGAAATGAAAATTCCCTGCTCTGCTGTGGGCCTGGTGTGGATGGAAGAGGAATTCTTCTGACAACATCCTCACGCCTCTGGGATGGCCCATCACCTGGTAACCTTCACACGGTACTTAACATAGCACCTTGTGGAAACGGGGAGGGAGGGCGAAAGACCTTGCCCCTTGTGCAGCACTTGAAATGTGAAGTTTAAAAGCCTGAGTATTTGTGGCTACAAATGTCACTAGTAGCTTAGGCAAAGAGGCAGAAAAAATGAATTTCCTGAAATAGTTGCTAGACTTGAATTGGAGGTAATGGGGATCGTGCAGACTGTGTCTTCTTTAGATTCACCGTTCAGCAAGAGGGGAGCAGCAAGGAAGACAGATTGGAGAGATGTTTGTGTCTTGCAAATTGCAGGGGTTCATTGAGTTGAAAGATGTCATTAGTCTTGTAGGGGCCTTTCTTTTGTTTAGTTAAGTGACTAAGATATTTAAATATCCTCCTTGCCCCTAGGCTTTTCAGGAGGCATTTTGAGGCAGTGGCTTTGTCTATCTTGGCTTTAACCCTTTCAGTACAGAGTTGGACACAGTATTCAAAGTGTGTGTGTGCAGGCTGGATTTATACATTGGCATAATTATGTATTTTGGTTTTGCTTCCTAGTAGTTTCCTAACTTTCAGATTGTTTGCATTTTTGATGCTGATTCAGTGGCAATATCTATTATAACCCCAAGACTTCATCCCAGAGTAATAATGGGGAGCCCATCCTTTGGTAATTGGCACTGATAGTTTTTAAGTAAATTTGGGATGTTTTTTTCCCACCCCCCAACTATGTACATCACTAAACTTAATTACATTGAACTCTAATATATTAAACTTTATATTTTTTAAGTATTGTAGACTTTGTGCAGATCTCTGTCATCAGTCGCTATTCCTACTGCATTGGAATATCTTAAATTTTGTTCGCAGCACTATCTTGTTTGTTCTCTTTGATCATTTTTATACTAAATTCAATGTAAATATCTGAAGGTTTCAAAATACAGTCAGCATAGTATAAATATGTCAATTTGATATTACTGTGCACAATGTTTATTTAGCAGTGTTGTGTTTAAGCTCTTCAGTTTAGCTCTGTATTCTTATACAGAGCAAAATTGGGGAAGGTTTACTGTCTGGAGCAACTTGGGAGGAAAGACACTATCATGTCAAGGTGAATTAATGGGACGTTTCTGCCAAGTTGGTTTTGTTTGTTTCATACTGAAGATAAATGAGAATTTGAAACTGAGAAGGTAGCTGATGAATTTTTCTTAAAGGCATGTGCAAGTTCAAACCCTTTGCACTGACTTTTCCATTGTTACTTGGACGATGCAGTCTGCATTTGAAAGGGTTCCTTTTGAACAAACATAAAAGTAGATATCTAGGACAATGATTGAGCCAAATTCTATATGGAAGCAAACAAGGGGCGGGGGCTTATTAAACATGAAATGAGGTATTTCTATTCCTGCCTAAGGAATGGTGTAGTAAAAGTGTATCACTCTGCCTAGGTCTTGAAGACCACTACAGAAGATATAGTTGAAGTCAACATAAACAAGAATTTAGTGGGTTCTGCAATGGCTGGTAGCATAGGTGGCTACAATGCACATGCAGCAAACATTGTGACAGCTATCTACATTGCCTGTGGTCAGGTAGGTTTGTTTTACACCAACTCAACTTTTCTTAAATTCAGTAATTATTAACCAAACACTTAGTTGAGTTGTTTGTTTTGTTTCTTCTTCCTGATCTAAAGGATGCTGCACAGAACGTGGGCAGCTCTAATTGCATCACTTTGATGGAGCGAACTGGTTTCACCAACGAAGACCTGTACATCAGCTGCACAATGCCTTCTATAGAAATAGGAACTGTTGGTGGAGGCACCAACTTGCTTCCGCAGCAGGCCTGTTTGCAGGTATAAAGTAGAAAGTTTAAAGCAATTTAACTTCCTAAATCAAAGCTCGCTTTCATGTTGTGTATGTTGTGTCTGAGTAATGTGGGAATGGGGCTTCTTGAAACTTGGTGGATTTGACATGAACATTTTAGAATTATCTAATTGTCTTCATATATCTAGTTTTTTAAAGCTCAAGATCTTTAATATTAAGAGAGACTTAAAGCTAGTTGATTGGATATAATTTGAAAAGACTTACTTTAAAATTTAGCATAAATTTACTTAGATTCCATAGCATAATATTGCATATTTTTCTCTTCAGATGTTAGGGGTTCAAGGTGCAAGCCAAGATAACCCTGGTGAAAATGCCCGTCGGCTTGCTAAAATTGTATGTGCTACAGTGATGGCAGGGGAATTATCACTAATGGCAGCCCTTGCAGCTGGGCATCTAGTTAAAAGCCACATGATTCACAACAGGTAAGAAATGGAAAAATTCATATCTTTCTCTGCAGTTCTGCCCTCCTTCCAAGTAAACAAGATTCAATAATAATTACATGAATAGTTGTAAAATATAATAGAAGTGTATCATTTTAACTATCTAATGTAGTTATCTTACTGTTTTTCTTAGGTCAAAAATAAATCTACAAGATCTTCGAGGAACCCGCGCTAAGAAGGCAGCTTGAATACTAAAGCAGCTTTGAAATGAAGAATTGTTCTAGCAGCTGACCAGGGGGGAGGATCGAGGATCTGTGAAGTTTAGAATGAAAATCACCTTCAACTCAATGATTTCTGTGGAAGATAAACTGAGATATCAATGGACTTGTGTGAGACTACTTATGCCTTTGACCTTCTTCAGTGGTTAGAGATGACTTCATGAAAGAAGTCCTGTCAGATGTCTTGAACACGGCTTTGGAATTCTTACTCTTGCGCATAATTTTCTGAAGGGTTCGTCTTATGTTTTTACAGGTTGAAATTATTTTGACTAGTAAGCTCCTGGTAACTACCAAGGTGAAAAGTGATGTAATGTGCTTTGTACATTTGGGGGAAAAAAAAAATTGGTCTAAACTTGGCTTGAATGCATTAGTCCTTGCCATCTTTATTTTCTGGTTAGCCAAGTATGTTTTTTAAAGTGATGGCAATCCTAATTACTTTCCATGAACTCCCAATTTTAATTTTGTTTGCATGTAAAACTTAGGCTTTGAGACAATTTTATTGAATCATATTAGTTTTATAGAAACCTCTATCTATATATAGTACTTACTTAGCTGAAGCAGCAGCAATTTAGTATTCAATGTTTTAACTCCACAATTTAGGTTATTCCTTCATGGAAAACTTGTGACCTACAAAGTGCTAAACTGTTAAATATAATCTGTACTGAAGTAGGGAAAAACAGTGTCTTCAACTTGTTTTGTCATTTTGTTCAGGTAGAAATAACAGATTTTGAAACTAGTAACTCCAAAACCAATTACAGGTCAGACAGCTTAGTAATTTAAGCAAATGAAGTTTCTCAAAATTGTTTGAATGCACTCCTATCAAAAAAAAAAAAAAACAAACCAGGAATCAAGAACAGATGTTTACACTTCTATTAAAAGAAGTCTCTTAAGGTACAGTGTGTTTGTGTATTCCTAATTTTTTTTTTAACTGTTTGACACTTATTCCCCAGGAATAAGTGTGTATCCACTGCTTAAGCTGAGATAAAATGAAGCCAGAAAATCATACTGTTCTTTAAAAGGAATTAAAACATAAAAAAAAAAAGTGTTAAACTTTCTTTTGTAGGGGGGAGTATTTATGTGAAGAAGAAATATTATCCTTTTTTTTTTTTTTTTCAATGAAAAGTACTAATTAAGGGAATTCAGTGAAATGACATGTTAATGCAACAAGCAGTTTTTGTATTAAAATACTGTACTTGGACCACTGAAGCAGTCTCAGGTGTTCTTAATGTAATACAGAAAACCCAGGTTTATTCTGGTTTGATTCACCTTTGGGAAGATTGCTAAATGCATCACCCTGCCTAGTTAATTACAGGAGGAAAATTGTTAATATGCTTGATGATGGGTTGTTTTGTTTTGTTTTTTGTTTTGGGGTTTGTTGGGGGGGGGAGGGAATTAGTGGATTGGACTGGGTTTCTTACAGGAATGCAGTAGCATTCCTAAAGGGGTGACTAGCAGAGGTGCTCTTCTAATGTGCAAATTTGATATAAATCATGATGGGTTGTTTTGTAGTACATCAACACACTAATACCACTGTAATGAGCTCATAAAGCTAATGTGCAAGCATGAAGACATACTACATGCTGGATATGTTATGACAGCATGTAAATATCATTAATGTTTATCTTCCTGAAGTATTGTTGCTAATAGCTACCATTTTATTTAAGTTGGAGCTACTTTGTTTCTATGTTCATTCAGTGATCTTATTTAAAGTAACACTGTACTAGCAATAAGTGGTTCGGTGTTCATTTTGGTGGATTTAACTGACATTGTCTTGCAGAATTAACATTTTGTATTATTACTAAATTGTGTACATTTTGGTACAGAACTACTTTTTCAGTTTCAGTAAAACAATGGAAAACATATTGGCTTAATTGTGATATTTTAAGCTTACTTCATGGCTTAGTGAAATATTTTAACATAAAATAAGAAGGTTAAGGATACAGTACTAAATGCAGCAGGGATATGATACCAGAACCTCTCACCTTGTTTGCAGAAGCCTGTACACATTTATTCTCCTCGAAGCTGAATTATGCACTTTGCCCAAATGGGAGAACTAATTCACTTCACCATTAGTGATACCTTCTGTTGAGGCCTATTTGAGCATTTCTCCTATCTTCCAGAAAATTGTTGAATTATACTTTTGGTAGTTTCTCACATGTCTGCCAAAACCAAAGTTTCAAAGGTGCTTTTTAATCTGTTAACTTGCTACCTGAATTTTAAACACTGCTTTCACCAGGAAAATGTAATTTTATCAAAATACACAGTACTATATATTCTTGCAAGACAGGTTAAGCTGGAAGAGTAAAAGAACCTGTTAGTACATACCAAGAACTGTTTGAAATTCTTATCAGAACTTTTAATATCATAGTGCACATTAGCAGTGATGTGGTTAAGCTTTTAGTCGGTACCCCACTACAAATCCTGGAAGCTATCAAAAATTTGGAGCTGTAATCCAGGACAGAGATTCACCAGCCTGTAACTGCATTTCCTGTAAAAGGCTAAAAGAACAAAAAAACAAAATTGCCCTTTTCCCCGCCCCCCCCCCCCCTCCCTTTTTTCCCTCTTCTCCTTGCCTGTAGTTCAACTCCCATGTTTGATCCTGGTAATGTCCATCAGTCTGTAATCTGACATACAATGCAGTCTGCATTCTTTTTCAGTCTCCTCAGCACTACAGGTTTTATACCAGAATCAGAGTTTACCATTTCATATGTGTTTGTTAGAAAGTTTAGGGAGCTGAAGGGTTCTTATTTACCTGCATATACTCCAGTAGAGTATTTCAACATCACTGCAAAATTTGTGTAGCAAGACTGTTTCAGTACAAGAAGTCCTGTTTGGTTTGAGTCCTTGGCAAAACCAAACCAGCTGTCTGGAATCAAGTTTCTAGAGCTGCAGCACCCTAAATGCTATACTACTACAATTGATTGATATAGTTTTTCAAATATTTTAAAACTGTAAAAAATGGTATATGTGACTCTAACTAGTTTGCTTCTCTCTCTACCTAGATTACCTCCTTCCTTTCGTGTCCTGAATCTACTTCCCCCCTGCTACACACCAGTCCTAGTCTTGCTGTCTGATGTGGAAGTTTCAGAGTTGTGAGGCTTGGAAGTTATGCAGCTCCAGCTGTATCTAATTACACAATTTTGGTCCACTTTGATTTCTCTCAGCCAGCTTTCTTATAGAAGCATTAAAGTATATGCAAGTTCTGGGTATATCTATCCATAGCACTGTTTGGATGATTTTCATTCTTGGCATAAACCCTGCTCATAAGGCAAATACAGCGCTCAGAAAATCTGTGGTACATGGCCCATCCTCCCACTCGTTTCAGCTGCCTTTTGGGGTGGAGTGAGAGCTCTTAATACTCATAGTGCTTTTAAGATATGTCATCATCTTATCTCCATCTCTTCTGGGACATGGCTTACCATCTTTGAGGTTCTGTGCTTTTTCGCTTGCTCCCTTTGGCTTTAGTTAGGGAAGGCTTACACTGCATAATGACACCTGCTGAAACAAGATGATGATGGTTTGGGCTTCAGGTGGTGTCCTTGTGTCGTGGTTTAACCCCAGCCAGCAACTAAGCACCACACAGGCGCTCACTCGCTCCTCCCCGGTGGGATGGGGGAGAGAATCAGAAGAGTCAAAGTGAGAAAACTCATGGGTTGAGATAAAGACAGTTTAATAGGTACAGCAAAAGCCGCGCGCACAAGCAAAGCAAGGAATTCATTCACTACTTCCCATTGGCAGGCAGGTGTTCAGCCACCTCCAGGAAAGCAGGGCTCCATCACGCGTAACGGTTACTTGGGAAGACAAACGCCATCTCTCCAAACATCCCCCCCCTTCCTCCTTCTTCCCCCAGCTTATATACTGAGCATGATGTCATATGGTGTGGAATAGCACTTTGGCCCGT